AAGATATCATTTTTGCTAGGATGTCTCAGGTGAGACGCTAGGTTTTGAACATCTGTCGAATTCGCTGGTTCCCATGTTTAAGGGATGTCTCAGGCGAAACGCTCATTTTTGATGAAATCGATGTTGTGACAATTTCATTGTTGTAAAGATGTCTCAGACGAAATCGCCATTTTGGATCGTCTCGAGGGCGCTCCTGGGGGTCAAATTTGGGCTTGTTTGGGGCCTTTGGGGGCCTTCTTGATGCCTTACAAAACCGTTACAGTCCGATGTTACACACATTCATTTTTTCAGGATGTCCCTAGCGAAATCGTCATTTTTAGATGACTGGCTTAAACCATCTAGAAGCCTTTTCAGGAGCGATCCCCAGACGATGTTAAAACAGCAGTTTTCAAAACGATGTTGTTCGATGTGTTATTTTTTTGAAGATGTCCCTAGCGAAATCACTATTTTCAGCAACCTTAAGGGCGCTCTTGGGGCCATGTTGTGGCCTTCTTTTGCTTCCTGATGCCCTCCAAAATCATTACGATGCGATGTCGCACGCATCATTTTTTTGAGGATGCCCCTACCGAAATCGACATTTTTAGAAGGCTGCCTTGGGCCGTCTGGAAGCCTTTTCGGAAGCAAAGTCAAAACTATGTAAGAACAACCGTTTTCAAGTCGATGCTGGTGTATGTTTTCACTTCTTGAGGACGTCCCTAGCGAAATCGCTATTTTCGGAAGTCCCCCAATCGTTCTGACAGCCATCTTGATGTGCTTTTTGGCCTCTCATTTCGTCATCTTGAGGTACTTCGAGAACGATATCAAGACGACGTTGAGGACATCTCATTTTGTTGAGGATGTCCCTAGCGAAATGCAAATTGTCTGCCGTGCTCTTCGTTCTGGTCCGCCGTGCTGCCGCTCGTTTTCTGAGGATGTCCCTAGCGAAATCGCAATTCTTAACATAAGAGTTGGTGTAAGACTTCAGTCACCATCTCATTTGTTCGAGGATGTCCCGAGCGAAACGCAAATGTTCACAGACGGCGAAATTTCGCTGTCATCAACTTTTCGAGGATGTCTCGAGCGAAACGCTTGTTTGTGTTAAACGCGATGTCGCGAAGATCTCATTTTTGTGAGGATGTCTCACGCGAAATCGCCATCCCGAGGAATCCGCTAAGCCGGTTCCCCGTGCACCCCGCCACCCCCTATAGTTAAGATATCTCTTACAGATACGAGGCGGATTCAGCCAAAACGTCCAGCTCGCTTCTCGTTCCTCGAAGACGCTTCCCGTCATCTCTTACTGATATGAAGAGGATTCAGCCAAAACGTCCAGCTCGCTTCTCGTTCCTCGAAGACGCTTCCCGTCATCCGCCGACCCTGTCGGCGTGTGGAAGAGGCTTCTCCGTCTGCTCCCTCTTCGTCGTCGTCGTCGATGCTCCTTTTTCTTTCCCCACAGCGTCGCTGCTTCTACCCCTCTCCCAAGGCCTCCTTCTGAGGCGCGCCAGTCCAAGGCGAGATTGAAGAGCGTCGTACTTGAGTCAAAGGGAAGCCCCTTCCCTTTGATCCCGTCCCGGGGAAGGGGGGGGTCCCGGGGTAGCTCCCAAAGGGGGTCCCGGGTTTATACGCCGCCCTCCCGGGGAGCCCAAAAAGGCCCCAAGACCGGCCAAGAGTGCCCCAAGAGGCCCCAAAGATGATCCAAGAGGGCCCTGAATTGCCGAATGATCTCTCCAAGACGCCTTGACGGCCTCCAGACGGCCCAAGAGGCCTGCGAGACGCCCCCAGAGGCCTCCAGGACCGTTCCTTCGAGAGCCCCAAGAGGCACAAATCATGGATTTCCCATGCGTTTTTCAAGGATGTTGGCGTTCTCGCCTCTTCCGCTTCCCCACGCGCCAAGACGGCCCAAGAGGCTCCCAAGATCGCCCCGACACGGCCCAAGAGGTCTCCAAGAGGGTCCCCAAACGGCCCAAAGGCGCCCCAAGACGGCCCAAGACGCCTCCCAGATGCACAAAAGGCCCCCAAAACGGTTCCAAGAGTGCCCAGATGGGGGACCCGAACGGACATTTCGAGCCCTCAGCCCCGAGAAGCTCCCAAGAGGCCCCCCAGGAAGCCCAAAGAGGCCCCAAGAGGCTCCTGTGTGTTTTCTTGGGCCTCCCACCCTCCCCCTCGTCGGCAATGCGCTTCTCCCACACTGAGCATTCTTCCTGTTGCGTTGTTATTCCTCCCCAATGACAGAACGCTGTCTCCAGGGTCGGCGGCATCGGCCGTAAGGCCTTCGCAATAAGAAGAGGCACCATGAAATCCAGGGAAGCATCATGGACCACGCCATGGTATCCACCCCCCTAGTCATCACCCCCCTCTTGCCGCCCCCGACCAACACTGTGTTATTTGGGGTGCGCAGCGTGCTCACTAGAACGTAAGCCAGCACTGTTGCGCACAGCCCGAAGCCGAGTACTGGCCCAACCATGCGGCCCCACGCAAGAGACTGTGCCCCGCGGCCACCGGACGGTGGCGCGGAAGCCTGGGCGTCGTGGCGCCCCTGTCGACCAGAAGCCTGCACGTAGCCAATGGCTGCCGTTGCCCTTGCAGCCAGGATCTCACGGGGACTGACACGGTCTGGCGTTGGCCTCGCTGTGCCTGTGAGCGCCTGGGGCAAATGGCCCGCGGGGTTGCAGGACAGCCATAAGCACATGCTGTTCGGGGAACGGAGGGTGGCACCAATGCAGAGCGCGGGGAAAATGCGAATGCACGTCCACTTCGTACTCTGTACGTCTTCCGTGGGTCGCGAGCTCGGATCGTTCCCAGCTCCGCCACCAACTCGAAAAGCGGGGCTTGGTGGTACTGGAAGGTTGGCATGGCGGCAATACGAGATGTAAGCAGGGGGGCTCTTTTCTGTATCAGATAAGCGTGTGCACGGCGACACGGAATCCGATTTGAGTGAGCAGCAGGAGGAGCAAGAGGAGGAAGAGGAGCAGGAGGAGCATGATCAGGAGGAGCATAAGGATGAGCATCATGAGGAGCTCGGAGCAGGAGGAACGGGGGAAAGTACGTACCCGATGTCCGAAGCCTGACCATCTCGGCCAGGGAATCAGGCGACGGTAAAGACGGACGAGGGATAAGGCGACGAGGAGGAAGAAAAGAAGACACCGAGGCCGTGGCGATGGAGGGCTGCTTTTCAGACACAGCGCGCCCAGGAATAGGGGGAATGAGGGGAGCGCACAAAGAGGGAGAGGGAACAGGAGGAGGAGGAGGAGGAGGAGGAGGAGGAGGAAGAGGAGGAGGTCGTCGTCATGGTGGTGGCGGCGGCGGCGGTGGTGGCGGTCGTCGGCGTAGAGGAGGGTGGCGCGTGCACGAAATAGTTCCTCCCCGTCCAAATCGTCCTCCTCTTCCTCCCTCCTCCTGCTCCTCCTCCTCCTCCTCCTCCTCCTCCTCCTCCTCCTCCTGCTCCTCCTGCTCTTCCTCCTCCTCCTCCTCCTTTTCCTCCTCCTTCTCGTCCGCAACACAAAAGGTCCAGAGCGCGTAGATCCTGTTCGGCTTAAACGCGTCATGGGTCCTGCCCCGTCCGCCTCATCGCGGGGTGCGTCTGGCTTTCCGCAAGCTCGGGAGGTGTTCTTAAGGCGCGAATCGGTTAAGGGCTGGGCAAGATGTGAAATAGTCAGGCGGCTGTCTATGGTGGTTAGCACAATGTTACTGCTGCCAGTTGTGCGGCGTTGAATCTTAGCCTCGCTCAGTGGCGTACCTGAAGAAGCAACGAAGCTTGACAGTGTTGCAATTCGTTTCAGGCTCTCGCAGGAGGTGTGTCGTCGCTCACGGGGTATTCACAGGTGCGTGGGAAATTAAACAGGTTGCGGCAATGCCCGCATCGACATCGAGGTGACAGGTATGTCGGATTGGCTGGTGCCCATGGATACGCGTTGCGTGTGGCCTGTCTACGACACTGATGTGTTGTAATCCTTCATGCCGCAGTCATGTTCAATTGTCACGCAATTCGGCTCTTCGTTGGCGTATCTGCGGTCTGTCATCGGTTTCGGGAATACGTGCTCTGGAGCAGGCGGCTGGGGCCGCGGGGCATGACATAAGGTGAAACGCTCATCCTGATCGTGGCACTCGTCTCCGCTGGCGGCACCACCTTCTGCCACGGGGTCGTCGTGACGTTCGGGGAGCTCTGTGGTCGGGGGCATGCACATGTGGTAGAACAACGTCCTGGAACTCGTACTGTTACGTGCAATCCTGTTTCTCCTCCTCTTTCTCCCACTCATCCTACATCATCCCTTGTCCTTCTCATCCTTTTCCTCCTCCTCCTCCTTCTCCTACGTCATCCTCCTCCCTCCTCTTCCTCTTCCATACTCCTCCTCCCACCTCCTACTCTCTCACCCTACTCCCTCTACTCCCTCTACTCCCTCCTCCTCCTCCTCCTCCTCCTCCTCCTCCTCCCTCCTCCCTCCCTTCTCCTCCTCCTCCTCCTCCTCCCTCCTCCTCCTACCTCCTCCTCCCTCCTCCTCCCTCCCTCCCTACCTCCATCTTCCTCATTCATCAGCCCTCTTCCATACTCCCCTCTTCCCTCTTCCCTCATCCTCATCCCTTCTCCTCCTCCCTCCTCCTCCTCCCATTCCTCCATCCCTCTTGCTCCTCCTCATCAGTCTTCTTCCATACTCACTCTTCCCTCTTCCCTCCTCCCTCCTCCTTCCTCCTCCAAATCCTCCTCAGATACTTCAGATACCTACCTAGAAGACGCCCGCAGAGCAAACGGCCTCTACCTGGATTCCGCAGGACCAACATAGAGGCCAGAGCCCTCACTCTCGCCTCGGGGCTCACGAAAAAAACCAAACAAAACTAGGGCCCCCCCGACTCGGATCTAGGATTCGCCCCAGGGGCCTCCAAATCCTCCTCCTCCTCCTCCTCCTCCTCCTCCTCCTCCTCCTCCTCCTCCTTCCTCCTCCTCCTCCTCCTCCTCCTCCTCCTCCTCCTCCTCCTCCTCCGCCCCCTCCTCCTCCGCCCCCTCCTCCGCCTCCCGCAGATGGACGCTCCTTCTCCTGCCGCAGAGGGAAGAGCTCGAGGAAGGCGATGAACACGCCGATCTGCGCCCAGCCGTCGGCCGGCATCTGCGGGGGGCGCCGGGGGGGGGGGGGGGCGGAGGGGGGAAGACTCATCACTCTCTCGATGGAGGGAGGCTCCTCCCGAGATAGGTCGTCCGCTGTTTCCTTCCATCCTTCCTTCCTTCCTTCCTTCCTTCCTCCCTTCCTTCCTTCCTCCCCTCCCCCCAACCTGCGTGTGCTGGGGGTGGGCCGGACGCCGCCCCGCTCGCAGAACAAAGCGGGCACAACTGCTCCCAACAGCTGCCCCGAAGTGGGGGTGCGGGATCCAGCTCGTGCCTCCTGTGGAACAGAAGTTGCACGGATGGAGGGCCACGTGCGGCATTAATTACAAGCCGTTCCTGCATGTGCCGCCAAATTGTATGTCACGGAAACGCTGCGGCGACGCAGGACTGACAGACAGAGAGGCGAGCGCCTAGAGCATGGTGTTATGGCCGACTGGGGGGGGCCGATGCGTCATTCGCCCACACCTCCGGCGGACTCCGAGTAGCAAGTGGAACGACCCCGCCCCTCGGGTTCCGGTGGTTTCTACAGCGATTGCTCCTTGACCGTTGTGGCTCAAGATCGGAGGGAAAGCATCGATGCCTCAACTAAAGGGGCCCCAGAACACACAAATAGATACACACAAATAAAAATATGCCCCATATTTTCCCATATTCTCTGGGTTTTTGTCTTCCCCCCATTTCCCACATTTTCGCATATTTTCCTGGGGATCGACGATTAATTGTGTCTGTGTGTCTCTTCCCCTCCTGATCAACATCGGAACCATCGGAGCGGTAGGGGCGTCGCCTCCCGGCAGAGCTTCGGGGACACGCGCCTGCTTCCGACGGTTTGCACGGCTCCTGAGGGTCGCCCTGGGCCTCCCAGAAAGGGCCCTACGTTGACGAACCAACAACACACACCCATACCCATGGGGGGATCGGAGAGGGCTATGGGTGCGTGTTGACGGATGGGGGTCCCCGCTCGAACTGGAGCATTCCCCAGGGTCCGACAACCCGCCCCCATACCCATGGCCAGTCCTTCTCCCAACGACCTCCCTATGGGTATGGGTGTGTGTGTGTTGTTCGTTCGTCATACGTATCCGGTCACTAGCTCAGGTGGTGGCTGTGCTAGCCCTGGAAGACATCATCGAGTCCGGAGTCCTGTCCGAAACCCGCGAAGACTGAACCACGAATCACAAAATGTACTCTGCACACCCGTTCGTGGACAGGCACCCGCTGATGTCCACAAGACACCTCTCCTCCTCCCTCCCTCCCTCCTCCCCCCCCACCTCCCTCCCACCTCCTCCCCCGCCTGGCCAAGGGAGATACCCCGACATCTGGCTCGGTCGGCCCCCCTGGGAATTCCTTGCGTCGCAGTGCTCTCGCGTCGGACTGTCCGGGCCGTCGGCATGACGGCCGATGGCGGCAACTGGATCGAATTTTGCGCGGCAGACGCCCGCCCCGTCGCGACGGGCGGGCGGGGTCGGCCTCCGCGTTGTCGGATGCTTCTCGGGACTTCGTGGCCTCCAATCTCAGCCTTGACGAAGTTCCCCCCCCTGGGCCATGCCCGGTGTTCGGTGCCAGAAGTCGCCCTCGTCCGTGGGCTCGCGCCGTCTGGACTCTCATCCTGCGTCTCGGCCGAAGAGCCGCGGAAGCCGGGACTTGATAGGGGGAAGCGCGTACCCAGCAGACCCGACGAATCGGGGGACGAGTTCCAAGTGTCTGATTCTGCATGCGACTTGGGTGGCCCCCTTTCAGCTAATACTGCGTCCCTCCTCCTCCTCCTCCTCCTCCTCCTCCTCCTCCTCATCCTCCTCCTCCTACACCTCCTCCTCCTCCTCCTCCTCCTCCTCCTCCTCCTCCTCCTCCTCCTCCTCTTCTCCTCCTCCTCCGCCTCCTCCCACCCACACCTCCACCTCCACCTCCTCCTCCACCTCCTCCCCCTCCTCTCTCCTCCCTCCTCCTCCTCCGCCCTCCGCCTCCGCCTCCGCCTCCGCCTCCGCCTCCGCCTCCGCCTCCGCCTCCGCCTCCGCCTCCGCCTCCGCCTCCGCTCCGCCTTCCGCTCCGCCTCCGCCTCCGCCTCCGCCGCCGCCTCCGCTCCGCTCTCGCCTCCGCCTCCCGCTCCGCCTGCTGCGCCTCGCCTCCGCCCGCCTCCCCTCCGCCTCCGCCTCCCTCCGCCTCCGCCTCCGCCTCCTCCTGTCCTGCTCCTGATCCTCCTTCCTCCTCCCCTCCTCCTCTCCGCCTCCTCCTCCTCCTCCTCCCCTCCTCCTCCTCCTCCTCCTCCTCATCCTCTCATCCTCATCCTCATCCTCATCCTCATCATCATCATCATCATCAGATCATCATCATCATCATCATCATCATATCATCATCATCATATCAGCATCATCATCATCATCATCATCATCATCATCACATCATCCTCCTTTATCACCCTCCTCCTCCTCCTCCTCCTCCTCCTCCTCCTCCTCCTCTTCCTTCTCCTCATCATCCTCCTCTGTTGGTTCTTATTGTTAGTAGTATTCGGAATAGTCGTCTTATTACTCGTCTTCTTATTCGTATGAGTCTTAGTATTGAAATTATTCGTATTATTGTTAGTAGCAGTATTGTTACTTCGCCGTACTATTTGTATTATTAGTAGTAGCAGTATTGATATTATTAGTATTATAATTATTATATTATTATGAGTATGATTAGTCGCATGCGTCGTCTGATTCTTATTACCATCTTCATATGATTTATAGTAACGCTGTTATTCTTCTCAGTAGTGGTATTATTATTGTCCGTAATAGTATTACTGATGTTATTATTGCTCTTCGTACTATTACTGTTTCAGTCAGTCATACTATGTGTCATGGCATTAGTATTAGCATTCGTATTATTAATGTTGTTATTATTCTTCTTCACACGATTATTAATAATCGTCGCCGTATTAATGTGATCATTATGAGTGTTGCTCTTAATAGTGGTACTAGTATTCGTCTTGTTCATATGGTTCGCATAATTCCCCGTATTATAAGTATAAGTATTCGTGGTGCTATTCTTAGTATGCTTATGATTCGTGGTATTATACTGTCCATCGTCTTCTTATTAGTATGCTTCTTCTGAACAGTATTAATGTTCGAATTCGTCTTAGTAACATCACTATTATGATCATTAGTATTATTATGCTTTTTCTTCTACGTCTTGTCATTACTATCATTATGTGTCTTCCTCCTCGTCCTCCGCCTCCGCCTCCGTCTCCGCCTCCTCCTCCTCCTCCTCCTCCGCCTCCTCCGCCTCCTCCTCCTCCTCCTCCTCCTCCTCCTCCTCCTCCTCCCCCTCCGCCTCATGGCGCGTGCCCAGGGGGCGCGCCAGGTTCGTCCTGCTCAACCACTATTTGCACAAAAAATTGTGGCTGTAACCTGGGGCATGAGAGCCATAGCCTCGTGTTGGGAGACCGCGAGCGGAGTCAGAGCCGGGAGGTGATGGTAGAGGGTGTCGGAGGCGGCGAGAAAGACCAGGGACGAAGGGGCGGGGGCAAGAAGCCGGAGACGAGCGCGGTGGCTCCTCCTCCTCCTCCCTCCTCCTCCTCCTCCTCCTCCTCCTCCTCCTCCTCCTCCTCCTCCTCCTCCTCTCTCCTCCTCCTCCTCCTCCTCTCCTCCTCCTCCCTCCTCCTCCTCCTCCTCCTCCTCCTCCTCCTCCTCCTCCTCCTCCTCCTCCTCCTCCTCCTCCTCCTCCTCCTCCTCCTCCTCCTCCTCCTCCTCCTCCTCCTCCTCCTCCTCCCTCCTCCTCCTCCTCCTCCTCCTCCTCCTCCTCCTCCTCTCCTCCTCCTCCTCCTCCTCCTCCTCTCCTCTCCCTCTCCTCCTCCCTCTCCTCCTCCTCCTCCCTCCTCCTCCTCCTCCTCTCCCTCCTCCTCCTCCTCCTCCTCCTCCTCCTCCTCCTCCTAGGAAACAACTCCAGTCAGCCATCAGAGTGCCAGTAGCAAGCGGTACACCGGCATAATGAAACGCAACTCTCCAAACAAGCAGAGGTCAGGGAAACCAAGACATATCATATGATGGGGAATCGGATCGTTGGATCCTCTACACGCCAGAAATACGGCCACTGTTCTTTGACTAGCAGAATTTGCGGACCAGGCGCCAGCCAAGGTTTTGAGGGCCGCATGGGCCTGCGACGGGGAGCATCTTACGCAAGGACGAATGGGCCGTGTCTCGGCGTCCTTGCTTGGGGCACAATTTCAACGTCGTTGAAAAGTGGCGGCTGGATGAACAGGAAAAGTCTGATCAGCTCAGCTAGAACGGCACTGATTTCGCTCTGGAACTTCGGATCTCCGAGGGCTTCACGGGCAGCGTTGGGAGTCAACGAGCTAGCACTGGACCATTCAGGAATCGATGGGAATCCTTTCCATGCTTCGTGCAGAGCTTGACCAAAAGAGCTAGAGGCCCAGAAAACGGGCGACATTCGGTATCTACTAGAGAACGCGTTTCACGGGCGCTTGCCTTGGGACCATTCGGCGGCGCGTTTCGAGCCCGGGGGTGGAACACTCGGCGCCGTCGATCAAACCCAGGGGGACTCCCCTTCCCCCAACCCCCCCCCTCCCGAACCCCCCCCCCTTGGGAGGGGGGGGGTTGAAACCCCCCCCCCAGCGCCGGCGCTGGCGGCCGCTAGCAGCGCCGACGGCGGGGACGCAGCGACGACGATCAGAGGCAGCCAAGGGGGGGGGGTGTCAAACCCCCCCCACCCCCCTTGGCGCCGAGGGGGGGGGTTCAAAACCCCCCCCCCCTCCCCTTGGCGCGGGCGCCAGCGCCGGCGGCGGCCAGCAACGCCGGCGCTGGCGCTGGCGACGGCGGGGACGCAGCGACGATAACCACCACTACCACCACCACCACCACCACCACCACCACCACCTCCGCCACTACCACCAACACACCGCGTCAACCACCACACCACCACCACCACCAACCCACCACACAACCACCACTACCACCACCACAGCCACCACCACCACCACCACAACCACCACCACCACAACTCACCATCACCACCACCACAAAAACCCACCACTACCACCACCACCACAATCTACCACGCCACCACCACCACCGCCACAACCACCACGACTACCAGCAGCACAACCCACCACCACCACCACAAACCACCAGACCACCACCACCACCGCCACCACCACCACCACCACCAGCACCACCTCCACGAACCACCGCCACCACTACAACCCACCACCACCACCACCAACCACCACCACACCACCACCAAACCACCACCACACCACCACCACAACCCACCACCACCACCACAAACCACCACCACACCACCACCACACCACCACCATCACCACCATCCACCACCACAACCACCACCATCACCACCACCACAACAACAACAACAACAACAAACCACCATACCACCACCACCACAACAACCACCACCGCCACCACCACCACCGCCACCACCACTACCACAACCCACCACCACCACCACCACCACCGTCGTCCTCGTCGACGTTCCCAGCCGCCACCGCCCGACGCCGCAGGCGCAAAGGAAAACGTCGTCCCCGCCGCCGCCGCCGCCAGCCGAGGAGAGGGAGAGAGGAGAAGTAAGGGAAGGGGGGGGGGCGGTGGGTTCGAACCCCCCCTCCGTCACGGGAAGAGGGGGGGTGATCGAACCCCCCCATTCCTTCCATCCAGGGGGGGTGGGGGTCTGGTTCCAACCCCCCCCCCCTCCAAGCGACCACAGAACACGCTCTCTCGTACCTACCGATCTCTGCCAGCGGGAGAGGGGGCGAAGACTGGCACTTCAAGACGGCATAACATTGCTGCTGGTGTTTTCATATCAGCTCGCATGAGGGATGTTATATTCAGAATGAGCGCGCTCTGATCGCGAGGTCCGCCCCACGCGCACAATTTAAACATATCAGCCCTGGACAGGCGGCGACAAGGCGTGGCGCATACAACTGCAAGAGATGCGTGTTTCCACTGAGGAAGAAGGACTGGAGGAAGAGGAACTGGGAAAAGTAGGAGAGGACGGTCGCAACTCCTGCAATGTACAGAATAGCCGCAAACATTGAAGGCGGGCGAACTTCCCCCAATGGACAACACCGAGAATGATGTTATTCCTGCGGTCATTTCCAAAACTGCTGGCGCACGGAGGGGCCCGCCCACGGACCGAGGTACTTCTGACAAGAGGTGATCCCGAATTCAAGCTATTCGGAAGGATCCAGCTCCCGATCGATCCAGCTTTTGATGGCATGAATGAGCGCTGGCGCGAGGCCCGTGAAAGAGGAGCAATGAACCAGCTGTTGAGCTTAAACATGAGATTATTGATGTTGGGTGCGGCTCAGAAGACAAAGAACATGTTCTCAAGAGCAGCAAGCTTGGACACTACTGATCCGACATCATCGGCACAGCATCTGACGACCCCTCTCTGGGGATTTGATCCATTGATCCAAAAACTAAACAGCAACATGGCTGGGTTCGTTGCGAAAGCTTGGATAATACCTGATGCAGGGCATCGTTGATAGCTTTCCGATCTAATGATATGTAAGTCATCGTGGACCCAAAACAACATGTTCCTAACTGTCTATGTTTCTGTACTCTATGTATAACAAAATCTGTGGTGCAATCCACGTGGTCAATTACATGATGTTCGGAATGATGTGACCAACCCACTGCTCGCGCAATCTTGCCACCCACCCGCCCAAACCTTTTTGAACACAATCCCAGGCGGCGGCGATTGCAATGAATGCCTGGTGTTGGCTGGTGCATCTTTGACGCCGCGCCAGCCCGCGCATGTTCGCGCGCGCAGCGGCTGACCACTGGGTACTTCCCAACGGGCACTTCAGTGCGAGTCGGCGACTTGGACGGCGCGGTGTCATGGCAACGTCGACGACGGTAGACACGGGAATGATAGTAGCGATGCTGGTGACGATGATGATAACGACGACAAGGCCCGTGACTTCGCCGATGTTGATCACGCCGGCGATGGTGGCGGCGTCCTCGCGTCGGCGGTGCATATTTGAAAAGGAATTCGACATGCACGCGCGGTCGACGCGCGAGCATGGCCCGCATGATATCATTTGACACGGATCGTGCCCCCCCACCCGCACGCGCGCAAGGGCGTCCGAATGACGTCGATATGCGGCGAGAGAGGTTTGGCAGAATTCCATGAACAGGTTGAACAACGATTGCTTTCATCAGGAGCTACAAAAAGCGCGAGAGCAAATTAGTTGTTCGGGGAGAAATTTCGTTGCAAAACCATGTGCCTGTACATGTTTCCGGGGCGCTCGATTTATAATCCGGACGACAGCTGAAGTTTTTGGAGGATTTCGGCGTGCGCGCGCGACGACGCGACAGTGTGCACTTCGCCCCATGGTTTGCGAACGGTTCCTGCGACAGCACGCGCACTGGCGTTCGAACGATTTCGACAGGCGCGCGCGCGAGAGGCCCGCTTGGTACTTCTCATATTCAATATTGTAAACCTATGGTTCTTTCAAGGATGCCTGAAAATGCAGGCGCACGTTTTTGTTGAAAACTCTCGTTCCGAAACCACGTCTGCTTTATGTTTTGTTGGGACGCTCGATTTTGAAATCCTTGGGAAACCAAGGGCGGCATACGCGCGCGACGACGCGCGCGTGCGCACTTCGTCCCAACGTTCTTCCAAGGGACTTACGAAAGCTGATGATTTTGGATAAACGAATGCGCGCAGATACTATACTTTGCCGAGGATGAAGGGGGTGCGATGCCGGCCGGCCCAAGGTGGTGCGAATTCATGTATGAGATGGACGATGGGCAGGTTCAGAAGTACATTGCAATACGAATAGGGGGCGCGTTAGTTCCAGGGGAATGGGAGCTATATTCTATCGCTTATGAAAAAAGGAAAATAAGCGCGGTGCAACCTAAATGGTGCAACTTATGTGGCGCGATCCAATTGATCAACCTGAACTTGTCAAATCCACTGCTCGCGCAATCATCCCACCCACCCACCCGCAACTAGGTTCGCAAAGCCCATGCGGAAGCGATTGCGATGGGTGGTTGGTGTTGGCTGGTGCATCTTTGACGCCGCGCCAGCCCGCGCATGTTCGCGCGCGCAGCGGCCAGCTCGTTTGGCGCTACCGACGCGGCCGCAGTGGCGCTGACCAGTGGGTACTTTCCAGCGGGCACTTCAGTGCGAGTCGGCGACTTGGGCGGGCGCGGTATCATAGCAACGTCGACAACGGTTGACACAATGATGATAGTAGCGTTGCCGGCGACAATGATGACATCGACGACAAGGCCAGTGACTTCGCCGATGCTGGTCACGCCGACGACGGTGGCGGCGTCCTCGCATCGGCCATGCAAATTTTAGAAGGAGTTCGACATGCGCGCGCGGTCGACGCGCGAGAGTGGCCCGCAAGATATCATTTGACACGGATCGTGCCCCCCACGCGCACACGCGCAAGGGCGCCCGAATGATGTCGACATGCGGCGCGAGAGTCTTGGCAGAATTTCATGAACAGGTTGAACAATTTATGGTTTTCTTCAGAAGCTACAAAAAACGCGGTACCATGGCAACGTGGCCAAAGGTAGACACGATGATGATAGTAGCGTTGCCGGTGACGATGATGACAACGACGACGGCACGGTCAGTGACGGCGCATATGGTGACCACGCCGACAACAATGACGGCGTCACCGCGTCGGTGATGAACAGGTTGGATAGAGTTCGACATGCGCGCGCGGCCGACGCGAGAGAGCGGCCTGTATGGAATTATTTGACACGGATCGTGCCCCCCCAGCACGCGCGAAAGGGCGTTGGAATGATTTGGGCATGCGGCGCGAGAGGCCCTCTTTGCAGAATTCCATGACAATGTTGAAAAAAACGATGGCTTCCATAAGGGCTCGCAAGAGCGCGAGCGCAACTTCATTTTTTTGAAAGCGGTTGCTTCGACACCAACTGTTATGTAGATGGTTTCGGGGCACTCGACTTTGAAACCCTTCCGAAACCCAAGGTTTTTGAGGGATTTCGGCATGCTCGCGCGACGACGCGCGCGTGTGCACTTCGCCCCAGCGTTTGGCGAATGATTCTTGCGACAGCACGCGCACAAGGGCGCCCGAATGATTTCGACATGCGCGCGCGAGAAGCCCGATTGGTAGCATGTCATGAAAATGCTGGAACACCGATGGTTTCCAGTAAGAATTCGCACGAGCGCGAGCGCAATTTGTTTTTTTTTGAAAATATGTGTTGCGAAGCCCTGTGCTTTGTATATGTTGCTTCTGACACTCGATGCTTAAATCCTTGCGACGCCTGAAGTTTGTGCATGATTTCGGCAGGCGCGCGCAACGACGCGCGCGTGCGCACTTCGTCCAATGCTTTCCAAGGGATTCGTGAGAACTTATGATTAGCGACAAACGAGTGCGCGCGCATTGCATTTTTTGCCAAGGATGCGGGAGGGGTCGATACCAGTTCAGCTGGGATGATATGACTCCTTCTTTGGGATGAACACTAAAGCATGATCATATGTCAATTGCACTACGAAGAGGTGAACCGTTAACCCCTGGGGGGTAGATCCAAATTCTCTTTTAGAAAGGAGCAGATATGTTGTAGCATCTATGGGGTGCAATCTATGTTGGATAATCTAAGTCGAGCAATCTATGTGGTGCACTCTGTGCGCTACAAGGTGCAATATATGTGGTGCGATCTACTTGTGCAACCTGGATGGTGCTTTCAATGTGGTGTAAGCTGCGTCCTGCAATCCATGTGGTGCAATCCATGTGCGGGGCGGCGACGGCGGCCACATAGCCGCCAGACCGAAGACGCGGCCCAGACGACGGGCGGCGACGAGGCGGCGACGGGGCGGCGACAGCGGCCACATAACCGCCAGACCGAAGACACGGCCCAGTTCTTCAGAACATAAATGAGGACCCCTAAGTGCTTGGGGGCTGAAGAATCTCGAATCGAAACAGTGTCCCTTCTCCTCCTCCTCCTCCCCCTCCCCCTCCTTCTGCTCCTCCGCCCGCGGGAGGGCGCGGCGCACCGCTTTGAGCGCCGCGAATCCGTTCGGGAGGTCGGCGAACTTGATCTCCTGCCGCAGCTCTCCCACGAGCTGTTTTTTGTTCCATCGCGGCGTCTTTCCCTCATTTCGGCCTCGTGGGCTCTCCAAGGGCCCCCGGGACCATCAGACATTACATCTGGGGCGAAAGCAGTTCCCCAGGGAAGGGGTCTGGAGCTCTGGGGCCGCGGAGAAGATTCCTGTTGGAGCATTGCCTGGGAACGCCCAGGACACTCCGAAGCCTTGGAGTCCCGAAACGGTGCGGTGACAGACCGTGCGGTGACCTCGAAATCCCCCAAGACATCACCGCACGGTCCGTCAACGCACGGTTGTGGGAGCCTGGAGGCCCCAGTCGCCCGAGACGTCCCTTGGAGAACGACCCGAGTCCCAAAACCGTGCGGTGACCCCGAATCCCCAAAAACTCACCATTACCAGCCTGGAACATATCCCTATCCCTATGCTGGGCACCTCCTCATCACGATGCCAATCTTAGGGATTCTCTTATTTTTGAGGGCGGATCCCTAAGATTGTCATCGCCTTTTGGCGTGTCAATCTTAGGGATAGGGATACGTTCGAGGCTGGTAATCACCACACGGTGTGGTCACCACCCCGTTTGGGGGCCCCCGATTGCTTGGGAACGCCCAAGAGACTCCGAAGCCTCCGGAGACCGCCGGGGGCCGCCGGAGAGGCGCGCCGGAGGCGCCCGCGCATCGACCAGGGCCTGCGGCAGATTTCGTACTCCGCCCGCCCTGGAAACGAGTCGAAGGCTGGAAGCGGCCAGGGTTGGGTCGGGCCCGTCCCCCTACAGGGGGATTGTGGACGACAAGTGAAAAACAGTCCAACAATCTCAAAGAAATGGTCGAAAATAGTCGAAGCATCGTCCCCGGACTATTCTTCGCTGCTTTTAATAATGATTCCTCCTGTAGAGGGACATGCCCGACGGAAGGAAGAGCAGGAGGGGGAGGCGGAGGCCCGCTTGCTGGAGTGGCCAAGTTACCCTAGGGAATGAAGCAGGGCGGGATGGGGACGAAGGGGGTGGAGCAGGGGATGAGGATGGGGGCGGAGGGAGGAGGGGGGAACGGATGGAATACGACATGGATGCAACGGTGTCCCGGAAGACGTCCAAGGGCACGCTTGGACTCCCAAGGCGCCCTGGCGGATTCTTGGGGCTCTGGGCTGGAGGGGCCCCGAGAACATCGGGGCCGAGAGGGTCACACTCGGTCCCCGGGCCCCTCCCCGGGGTCGACCGTGGCAAGCTCGTCGCACCGCGCCCAGCCGAGGCGACGAGCGGGCTCTCTTCTTGAGCAGGGACCGACCGTCCCGGCATTCCTGTAGTCCTACCACGAAATGTTCTTAGAACCCAGAGATGTTCTAAGAACAGAAACATGTGATATACAACATATATAAATATATAAATATATAAATATGTAGAAAGTCCCAACCAGAAATGTTCTAAGAACAGTCCGTGGAAGCCACCAAAAAGGTTCTTAGGACATTGTTTTTGGTAGGGTTATCGGCGGGCAAGGACGCTCCGCCACTGCTTGACCAAAGCCGATGTGGGGCCACCGCAGCCCCCCAGCCGGCTCCAAGGCGAGGGCCCAGGATCGAGGGCCCAGGACTCCTGGGCCCTGGACCACAGGGGCGGGGGGGGGGGGGGCAAGACTCCTGGGCCCCAGCTCCCGGGGGGTCTCAAGACTCCTTCCTGGCCTGGGTCGTGGACTCCAGAGGGGGCCAAGGAGTCCTGGCGCTAGACTCCAGGGCGCCCAATACTCCTGGGCCCTTAGACTCCAGGGGGGGGGCCCAGGACTCCTGGGGCCCATCCTCGAGGCCACGGAACGCCTCTGGCCCGCTCGAGGCCTCCTGGAGCCACCAGGAAGCGGCAGGGCCCTCCAGGGGTCGGGCCAGACGCAACGCACAGCGGCTGCGAAGTTGGTTTTCCCGGTGCCTCTCGTAGGGGGCCACATGTGAACCCTACCCCTACCCCCCGCGATTTCTGAGGGGGAGGGTGGGGTTCACTTCGTTTGGAAGCTCCCGAGCGAAGTGAACCCCACCCCCCCCTCAGAAATCGTGGGGGGTAGGGGTAGGGTTCACATGTGGCCCCCTATCTCGGCGCCTGGGGCGCCCACCATGCATCGAGGAAGGCGCCCGGCGGTGGGGCTGAAACCCAACAAAAATTCGCCCCCCTTTCCCCGTCCCGCTCCGGGCGTGCCTCGTCGTCTGGCCTTCGGGCCACAGCTCTGGTCTATGGTGGCCGTTCGGGACGATCTGGGCACCCCCAAAGGAACGCTGTCGGCGAGGCGCAGCTGCTGAAGAGCACCCCGAGGCTGGAAACAGCCGGGAACCTGCAAACACGCCTCTGAAATCTCGGCGGCGGCGCCGCCGCTGCGGCGGCGTCCTGGGACGGCGACACGTAGCCGGGCCACCGGAAGTACTCGGGCAC